ATGATTATTAAGAATTTATTTTCCATTGTCGAATATCCCAAGCGAATTAGTAAGAGATTATTAATGAATAATACCGCAATGTTAAAAGTGACAGGCTAAAAATGTATAAAAACTATGAAGCTATTTTTAGATTAACAAAATTATCTCACTTGAAATATCTGATCGATTTAATTCTTGACAATATGAGATCGATCGAATTTAGTTTTAATACATTCATTTACTAAATTTATTATACATATTATTTTATTCGCCATTTACATACGCGCGTGGATGAAAATCTTTTTAATTTACAAAATCTTCGTGAAAAACAATGACTTTATAGATATATAATGGCTTTAATGTTAACAAACAAATGAGATCTTTCATATACTATTTAATTATCTAAAATATAATTTGAATAAAAAATGCTTGAGTATAGTGATTTAATATTAATTTGGACTTTTTATATCGCCTATTGTCCTTTAAAAATAGCATATATTTAAATAAATTTTAATATAAATTTCTAATAAATTGTAATGATAAATCTTGTTAATTCTTATTTTGAATTATTGCGCAGTAGTAATTGCATTATTCATTCATCAATCATATATTCATAATTTGGCGTAAAAATCATTAGAATATTTTAATATAAACGTAAGTTAATAATTCTTTTTTTTTTTTTTTTTTTTTTTTTTTTTTTTTTATTTTTTTAAATATTTAATTTGATATATAAATATGCTTTTTTATTATTAATATCCGGGATGAATCGTGATAGAAAAATAAGTCTACTTTTTACAAGCAGGAATTCAATTTAAAATGCAAAGCATCCTTTGTTTCAATATCCCAACTGATTTACATTATATTTGTAAAATTGTAATTTTGTTATTTGGAAATTTTGTTAGTAGTTAATTACTACTTAGCATACGATTTTGTTTTATTATTTCAAGGTTATATAGAGAAATTCAAGGCCATTTAGAGAAATAATCATATTTTTCATTTTAATAATTATTTTATAAATTTATTCTGCTCATTTATTTTTCATTTTATAACTGTTTCATTTGTTATTGATTTCTATAACAATTTTTAAATTAATTTCATCCTATATTACTTGCATTACTTGCACGGAATATTTTATATTTTATTTTATACTTTTTTAATAAAATAACAAAAACCATATAGAAGTATAAATTCATTACTTTTTTAATAATATTGTCGTTTTTTTATATTATATGTGGACTTAATCAATAATTTTTACATATATTGCAATTGTTTTTAATATAGGAATGCTTATGAGGTCAAAGAATTATTTAAGCAGAAATATCTTCTAGAAAATATTTATTTAGAGTTAGTTGATTGATGCCGATAACGTAATAAATACTGACTGAAAGCCTCTACCTTCAATGTCTAAAAATACGTTTTCATGCCACATAACAAAAAAAAAAAATATTAAAATTTTTCCATTTAAAAATGATTTATGGTTAGTGTTAAAGTATTTAGGAAATTTTTAGATATGTAATTGTTATTATTTGTAATTATTATTATCATAATTTGCACTTGTATAAATTATTTACAAACAATTTTTAAAAACCATACATTTTTCATAATTTAATTTAGAATTTGAATAAAGTTAAAACTTATTTTTTATATGTTTAGTACATTAAACAAAGAATAAATTTTTCTAATCGAGCGGAATAGAGATTTTAAATTGTTCCATCTATCGAATACTTAATACATTTATAGTTCAGATGTATTTTCAGTGGTACATAGAACTAAGATGTATTTGCATATATGATTTTATTATTTACATTTAATTAAATAAACATTTGAAATATAAATTATATTTCAAACGAGGTATTTCATTCTAACGAGAATGAAAGATTCTCGATGCAAATAAATGTATATTGGTCAATCCGATAAAAAAAAAAATTGATATAATGATTGGCTAAACACCGTAAATCAGTAGGTTATTTTACATTTAAACTTGCAATTTATACATTTTCCGACTATTCGTGAAATACAATAACTAAATTTCAATATTTTGAAGTAAAATCAGCTTTATTAATTGAACATATTTTTCTAGTGGAATTGTAATAGAAGGCAAATGATATGGTATCATTAAATTCAATTATATGTATAATTAAAGGCTCGATTACGTAATATCTTATTGCTATAAATCCAAATGCATATATTCTCAAATAGTTTTTATTCGCTGTAAAGTAAATTGTGGTGTAAAAGAAGCGTCTGCTTTTTTGACAATTCAACGAGGGCATTTAATGGATGAGAGCAATTTCATTTCGTGCACACCAACACAGTCTTTCAATCTTCTCAGTCTGTCTTTCTCTCTTGTTGTCTTTGATAGTAACCCTGTCGCAGTTTAATTTAAGGTACTGATCGCGTCCATCCATTCTCCATTCACGATCCTATCTAATACACCGACGGGATGACAACGTCGACGACGACGACGACGACGACGACGACGACGACGACGACGACGACGACGACGACGACGACGACGACGACGACGACGACGACGACGACGACGACGACGACGACGACGACGACGACGACGACGACGACGACGACGACGACGACGACGACGACGACGACGACGACGACGACGACGACGACGACGACGACGACGACGACGACGACGACGACGACGACGACGACGACGACGACGACGACGACGACGACGACGACGACGACGACGACGACGACGACGACGACGACGACGACGACGACGACGACGACGACGACGACGACGACGACGACGACGACGACGACGACGACGACGACGACGACGACGACGACGACGACGACGACGACGACGACGACGACGACGACGACGACGACGACGACGACGACGACGACGACGACGACGACGACGACGACGACGACGACGACGACGACGACGACGACGACGACGACGACGACGACGACGACGACGACGACGACGACGACGACGACGACGACGACGACGACGACGACGACGACGACGACGACGGCAACGACGTTGCTCATCTCCAAGATCTATTTCTGGCAGTATTCTAGTCCAAGTTGTGCGCTCCTGGTAGAAGCTTCGACACGCGAAAATTTCGTGGATTTCGCTCCCCCCGACGTTACAACTGTCCCGTTGTGGTTAACCGAAAAAGAGAAAACGCAAGAAAAACAGTTAGATAGATAGACAGACAGATAGGAAGAGAAAGAGAGAGAGAGAGAGAGAGAGAGAGAGAGAAAGGGAGTGAAGCAAGTGGAAAGCAAAAACGATAAGGAATGAACAACGACCCGAGCGTGCGTTTGGCTCTAGGCAAAACTGTAAATAACCAAGCCGGAGATTCGTGAATAGAGAGAGAGAGAGAGAGAGAGAGAGAGAGAGAGAGAGAGAGAGAGAGAGAGACACAGACAGACAGAGAGACACAGGGCAATCAGACAGAGAGAGAGAGAGAGAGAGAGAGAGAGAGAGAGACAGATACAGACAGACAGACAGACAGACGGACAATCAGACAGAGAGAGAGAGAGAGAGAGAGAGAGAGAGAGATAGAGAGTGCGTAACAATTACGTTTTATACGTGGTAAATTAATGCTTCTATCAGTAGTAAAGAATACTCAGAAAAGAAGGGACAAAAGTTTTTGTCGACAACAATAGTAGTAAATGCGCGAGGTTTTTAAACACCTGTCGTTACCTAATTAGTTTTGTCTTCTCTTTTCTTCTTTCCCGTTTTCTTTTTCATTCTTAATTATATTTTTAACGGGCAGTCGCGAGGCATCGAAGGACTCTTTTAAGCCGACTTATTTGTTATTTTGACATATACTCGACATGCAGTGGCGCCGACTAATTAAAGTCAATCGCGTCATCGGCTCGTCAAAACACGCTTTGCTTTTTACAAGGTACCAAGATGGTACGAATCAAGGTTCTATAGACGTTGGAGGGGGTATCGAGGCTTTTTTTATACGGCTCGGTTCGCTCATTTTTCCGAATCACGACCACTGTGTTATGATTATTTTATCGCGATGGCTGTGCTATGATAATATCTGCTATTTTCCCTTACTACTGAGAAGAATAAAAAAAAGTGCCCAGTGATTGAGAAATATCGGGGGTGTCGCGGAAACCTGCCTTTCGCGGATAATCCGTTCGAGCCCATGAGTCTTTTTGTAATTGTGTCATGGGTAAATGCAACGATTGGTTAATTATATTGAGGTGCAGCCCGACAATGCACGACCCAATAATGCTAAACCGTCTTAGCTTAGGGGATTCGTAGCGACAGTGGCGAGCTTTTATCTAAAATTAAAGTCACTCTTTTTTTTTTTTTTTTTTTTTTTTTTTTTTTTTTTTTACATAACTGCTCTACTGAGTGCGTTTATTTCAGTTTGGACGAGACTGATCGATTGCTCGCAAAAAATATTAAGTGCTAAGACAAATAAGACGAGTGAGGCCACGACGAGATGGTCGAGCTTCAAAAGGGTGCTCGAACATAGCGAAATGAAAGTTGCGATAAAAATATAAAAATCTTTGTAAGTAAGCTGGAAACCGATTTGTTGTTAACCGCTCGACTTCTGAAAGGTGAAACTTTGCATTGTTTTATTTGAAAACTCTATTTTTATGTTTAGCAATTTTTAAAAATACGAATAACGCGTTACATAAAGACCTTCCTAACTAGAGGCATTACGTAAAATGATGGCCTTTTTTCGAAATAGAACAGCTTCTTAAATAGAAAAAAGAGAGCGGCCGGGGGCGACAATTTTCCACTCGGTCGTATCTGAGATTGAATTTCCGATACGCGGAGGGAGGCTATGCGAAGAGAAGCCGATAGGCCAGAGGTCTCGAACATTAAAGAAAAATTACTTTGCCTGCTTGGCGGATATTAAGCATAATTCGACTCGAATGAGCGCGGATGGCGGGGGGGGGGGATGGGCAGGGTAGCGGTGGCGCGGATGCAGGGTCGTGAAGCGTTCGGACGAATGTGCGGGACTCGCCGCTGAGGTCTCACAAAGTTTAACGAACGTCTCTCTCTCGTTTTGCAGCTCCACCGGGGGAGGAGGACGAGGAGCCCTCGGGGACATGCAACGGCTACATCAAGTCGGGGCACGAGCACGGAAAGGAGCGCAACGGGTACGGGTCGGGTTCGGCCTGGCTGAAATCTCGGCATGGAAGCGGCGGAAGTAGCGGTAGCAACGGTCAAAGCAGCGGGACCAGCGGCTACGGGAGCGGCGGCTATCGCGCCGCTCGCCAAGAGTCCGGCAAGCTTTCGGACCAGCAGAATGACAAGGTTACCTTCAACGAGGACGAGTACACGAGGATCACTGCGCCCCGGCTCGACGTCCTCTTCAAGAAGAGCTACCTTCAAAACAAGTCCTGGACGAACATGAACAGCATGAGTGCCACGCCATCGACCACCGGGAGCCAATCGGCCTCGCACTCCACCGCAGGTAGAGGTATACCCGGGATCAACATCCGCGGACTCGGCCGCCCACTCATCCATCCATTCGCCCACTCTGTCCTTCGCCGCTCTAGCTCTATCTCGCGCTCGCGTCCAAGAGCCCCGATCAACCCATTTCTCGATTCTCTAGCTAATGCCACATCGCAACTAATAATGATACTTATTGCCATATTACATTGTCGTAATCGTTCGTTATTATTGCTCATGAGATATGGTCGTCGTTATTGTTCTCGAGGTCATTTACGAGTAAAATTAATTCGAAAATAAGCGTTGCTTCGCTGGCCATTTCACGAGGAAAATTACATCGCTTGCGATAAAGCTGTTTGCGGGCGCGCATGCATCCTCGATAAATCGCACGTGAGGTAATTTTGATAAATATGTGAAAGCCGTGGTAATGGCATGAAGCGGAGTGGCGTAATCGTGGACGGAAGCCGAGGCAAGGACTCGCTCATCTTCCCGACACTTTAGACATGAATTTAAATGCAAACGTTGCTCGTTACAGATGGCAGCGAGGGGGCGGAAGATCAACAGCTGCTGGACAGCATGACAACAGGAAAGTTCGAGGTTAGTTACGGGACGTACTACGATCACAACAACGGTTACTATTACGATTACCCGATGATGCTGGTGGCGCCGGAAATGCCCGATCAGATGGGTTCGAACATTATAACGGCGATACCTTGTACCCCGGTACCCCTGAGGCCAATCGAATGGGTTAATCCTGTTTTCGTGCCCAAGCTTGCTTCCCAGCAATATTGTTACGTCGATCATCAGGTGAGAAAAGTATTTTGTTCGATTAGTGATTCGGTGGGGCGCGTGTACTTAGTTAATTGTCAAGTGCGACTTGGATCTCGGCTGGCTCGAGCTCGAGCTCGAGCTTCGCGGAATATTACTAGAATTTATTAAAAAAAAAAATATCATACGAGTCGACAAAATTGATGGAGAGTCAGCCTCGTCTTTTACAACTATTCATTATACGCGATTAAAGTGACATTTGAAGCTGCCATCGAAAATATTCAACAATTCACCACTTATTTCGTACTCACTCATACATAATCTTTAACGGACACACGAAGCTTATTCAATTCAATCAAAGTTGGATATTTGCTGTCGACATACCACTAAGCTCGATAGCCTATTGGCTTATGTAATAAATAAAACGGCAAAATACAAAAATCAGTCGTACAATTACAACGTACAACGACAACATACAACGTACACAAAAAGCAATTGCTTTTGCAATTAATCATGTTGTAATTGGTCGAAAGTTCCATGTCGAGCAGATATCACACCAAGAAAAACGGGCTTGGTTATGTTTATTTGACCAGTCGTTCCTCTGTAAATATTATCTGTAAATGCATGCTCAGTATTAATAATGTAGCGTCTAGAAGACAGACAGACAGACAGACAGTGGCAGTCGCAAAGAATTGCCGTCGTCACGCGCAACTCCTTTTTTGAGCACAAAGACAAAGCTAAAAGTACAGAGGGAACGTCGGTAAGGGCACTAGGGTGGGCTGAAGAAAGCCAAGGGAAGTATTGACGAATAGTTGGGACACCCGTAGGTGAGCTCGGGCCGCGATTGTGCGGCTTTGGTCGACGGTCAGGGTGTACCGCTGGGTGCAATGGAGCCATCAACGGAGGCGAACGGTGTTTTGGCGAGCGAGATTCTCGCGGACGAGCCCGAGGATGCGGAGAAGGAGGTGGGGAAGGAGCCGGGAGAGGAGGAGGAGGCGCTCGATCCGACTCTTAAATCTATCGATGAGATGAATGGACTGGAGTACGCTGAGATGCCGTACATAGAGACGCTGCCTCCCCAGCCACTGCATGTGGCACACATAATTCCCCAGCCGATGGGCCAGCCGTACCTCTATCCCGGGCAGTACATGTTTGGACCACCAATGGCCAACGTCAACGGTTAGTCTTCTCTTTGGTCCATTAATCTCGATAGTTTCAGCGCTCGGGCAACCAAGGTTATGGGGAATCGCGCGTCGACTCGCGCCTCCCCTGAGGAAGTGCACAGACGTACGCGTCCCTGCTCCCTTGATGGCGGCAACTTTTACCCTCGGTCCTCTGTTCTTCCACGC